AGCCTGACCTGTTGCTGAACTCGTGTTTAATGACAGGGTGTCTGTGTGGCTTATTGAGGGCGTGGTAAACTTTTTGATTCTTTTATAAAATCTGCTTGTTCTGCTGTTTCATGCATGCGAACAAGTACCCAAAACGAGAAAAAGGGGCTCATGCTCTAATCTAAGTAATTTACAATATCAAACCTTATTATATTGCCAACGGAAACACATTTAAATTATTGTGAGATGATGAGAGGAGGTCAGGGTGCAAGTCTCTGTGTGTGGGCCAGGCAGCCTGCACACAAGAATTTTCTGGACCTATCTGTATCTATTCTCTAAATTGTGATGATTTACTTGCAATAGTTTGGTAGTTAACAATCACCATGGCATTCTTGATATGATAAATGTTAACAGGCTTAACTGGGGAAATTTGGAAACCTCCCGACTTTTCTTTCTTGAAAGTTGATCATTCCTATCTTCTTTCTAAACATCACAAGGGTATTTGTAAATGCTCAAACTGTAAGTAGCAAGACTTATTGTCAAGGGAACTTTCTCAATATTATCCATGGGTTTCCATTATCTTTTTGGCTTGAGTCCTGTAACTTCTGCAAGGTAGTTACAGGGAATGGAAATACTTTAGCATGAGAATATTAACTGTCAATTTACATTCAACATTAATTTCCTATTTTGTGCAAGAAAGTCATTATTTATGATTATGCATTCTCTTTTTCTAACTTAATCAATATTCGTCACTTCTAAGTTCTAACTATGAACTATGAAGGCCCCTGACTGTCCCTCGTGGATGTCTATATCATTATCTGCCAAGCACTGGTCGGCATGTTTCAGTTAAGACTTGAAACTAGTATGATATCGATGTCTTCCAACCTCTAATTTTTTGTAGTTGTTCGTCTTTGATAAACTTTGCATCGGATGTCCCCTTAAAATCTTTCTGGTTATAGGGAATTTAAGGAACAGCAATATTTCATCTTATCATTAAGCATATTCAACTGTTTTATTATCTTATGATCGTTGACAGTTTGTTTTCCAAAAACAATTTGCACAATGTTTTATTCTTTCTCTGTTAAATGCAGGAGAGGAACCTTGGATCTGGTCTTGAAGCAAATAAATTGCATGCTTTGCGGTGTGTTATCATCCAGTTAGTGCTCCAAGTTCTCCTTTGTCCTGATGAGTTCTATGAGGCTGCATCTGAACTTGTCATTTGTTGTGAGAAGGCTTCTCCTGCTGCTGCTGCTGCTGCTTCTTCTGATAACTCTGGAGAAGTAAATGAATTTGATGACAATGAAACGCCAGATTTGATGGATGTTCTTCTGGAAACTTTTCTTTCCCTGTTGCCTCACTCATCTGGTCCCATGTGTTTTGCTATTGAGCAGGTCTGTTTGAATGATATTCCACTAACGAAAAGTAGTTGATGTGCTGTAACTTATAGAATACTAAATGAATGCATAGTTACATCTGTTTTTTTATTTATTTTAAAGATGGTATTTCTTTTTTGTTGCATGCTTGCATTATTGGAAGCTCCTTAGCACAAAGCTTTTAATTAAACTAGTTGATGATTGCTTAGAACTCTAATACACAATGTAGACCATTATGTTAAAGTCACTTGGAGTTTTCTATTCAAATCTTTTCTTTTCTTCTGCAGGCCTTCAGATTGTTCTGTGATGATTTAACAATTGATGGAATCCTGCGAATGTTGCATGTCGTAAGGAAGGATCTGAAGCCTCTGCGCTATCATACTTATAGTAGTGATGATGATGATGATGGTGTTGATGAAGATGAGGATGATGATTTTCTTGGGATTGAAGATCTGGATGAGACTAGTAAAGCTGAGGATGTTGTGGCGGGTGAAGGGGATGACCATGCAAACCCTGGAAGATTGCTGGGAAGTGGTGAAACTGGTGACAAACTGACAAAAAATGAAGAAGTTGATTCTGGGGGAGTGCTTGGAGGTGATGCAAGTAGCGATGATGAAGTGAACCAAAATCTTAGTGACCATTCAGCATCTGATGATTCTGATGGTGATATGGATGATGATGCAATGCTCATGAAAGATGCTGCTATTGTTGATATCTTAAAGCAGCGCTTGTCTACTGAGAAAGATGGTGCTTCTTCTCTGCTGTTAACTTTTAAAAGCCGAGTGCTCACACTTTTAGAAATATTTTTACAGAAGCATCCAGGTATTATATTTAACTCTAAAACTCAGATTCAGTTTTTCCTTGGTAATATATATCTTGATCTAGACAGTGTAAATGTTGGTTTGGAATTTTGATGGCAATAACTTGGTTACAACCATCTTAGAAGCAAGGTGGAAGATAGTGTATGCTATCTAGCCATAAACCATGAAATCTGTCAAATTCAGTGAGGTGCTAACTTTTAACATTTTTACATGCAGTCCATTTGCCAAAATACTACAGTTTTTACTTATTCTATGACTTATTGACTTATATTATACTCAAAATATTTACATGGTATTGACAAACTGCTAAACCTTTTTTCTTATGTTATGGCTTACGAGCTATATTACCTAGGTACATCTAATCGGAAGCCGTACCTGTACACGTACCCAACCTACTTGGGCACTCCTTGCATATATGCATATATTTATTCGGGCATGTACTCAATTATACAATACATGTCTTAATTTAAAAGACTAGTCATACATCTTTTGCATGTATCCTGCAGTTCACATCTACTTGTTGAAACTCATTGGACACAGGTCAGGTTCCGAATTATGATTTTGATAGGGTCGTTTGGATGTCTAGTTTAAAAACTAGAAAATTTCCAATTTATAATCCACATAATAAACGAAACATAAAAATGGTATAGGAATTTTAATTCTTAATCCTTATTCTCATATGAATTATTAATTGCAATATATAATATGTGTGTATAAATATTTATTAGCCATGTTCTCATACCCTACATTTTACAAATTTGTTATGTCCAGTACCCGTACCTGTACCTGTAGTACCCGTACCTGTACCTGTACCCATGCAACATAGCTTACAAGTAATATATTTCCTTCCCTTTGCTTTCCTTGTGGATTCCATGTTTCCACAAATATTCTGTGCTGCAATGTCATTGATGCATTGTCATTTTTTGTTCAAATTGAACCTCTTCATTCCTATTTTCTACAGGAAAATCTCAGGTCTTGATGATCTACTCTTACTTGGTTCGAGCTTTTGTTAAGTATCACTCTGCCCAGAAACCCCAGCTACAGCAACTGGCATTGCGCATAAGAGGTATCTTGCAGAAGAAAATATTCAAGGCAAAGGACTACCCAAAAGGTGATGATATCCCTCTAGCAAGCCTTGAACCTCTTCTTGAGAAGAGCCTGAGATCGGCATCACGATACCCAGATAAAGAGGTTTCTTCTCTAGCACAGGCCTCTACATTTTGGCTACTAAAAGTCATCCAGTCAAGAAATTGTGACAAATCGGAATTGAAGACGGTTGTGGACCTGTTCCAGTCTACATTGGTAGACTACTTTGAGAGTAAGAAATGCCGGCTAAAATCAGGGTTTGTAAAAGAGGTCATTAGGCGACATCCATGGGTTGGCCACGAGCTATTTGGTTTCCTTTTGGAGAAGTGTGCGGTTGCAAAATCTGAATTCAGAAGGATTGAAGCACTTGAGGTGGTAGATTGTGTTATGAAGTCGGGGACTCCTGTCAAGGGTAAAGATGGATCAGGTAAATTATCAGCCAAGTTACTGAAAAAACATATGCCTGCACTTTGTGATTTGATCCAAGTGCTCCTGAGCCAGTTGCCAGAGAAACAATCACGGCGGGCTGAGGTCCGTCGTTTTTGTACACGGGCACTCAATGTTATCTCTGCACTTGACCTTAGAAAGCCATTTCTTAAGGTGTTGAAGCCAGAAGCAAGGTCTCTTTGTGAGTCTCATCTAGGCAATGTCTTTCTTCCCTTTAAGACGCCTTCTCCGTGAATTAATGGTTAAGCAGCCTCTCCAAGCCAAAGGTGAAGTAAGTTCCAGAATAGATAAATGAGTTTATTTATTTTGTTTGCGTTTTTCAATTTAGGGTTTCACTTTATGATGAACCTAATCTTTTTTTTTTTCCAAGCTGCAGTTGAAACATTTTAGAAGAAAGTTTATCCTGTTTTTATCTGACATGCAGCTGATATTCTACAAGCATTTATTGTGCGGATTTGTTACACCAGTATCAGAGTGCTTCTTCGTAGGATGAAAGTGAGACTTCATTCCAAGGACAGTTTTGGTGGAATTCGGTTTCTGTGCAATGAGCTGGATCTTTTACCCTAAGCTCTCGAGTCTTTATTTGGAGTTTTAAGGAAAGACTAAATCTTTAAAAGTTGAGGCTAAGATGTTGGTGAATTATGAATCGAATGCACAGAGCACAAGTACTCCAGCCATGATCGAAACTCCGAAAGCTTTAAAAGAGATTAAGCCGTATGTTGTGAAATTTTGATACCTTTCACATATTATCGTAAACGTTTGAATCAAAGTCATTTATTTGATTTCATGTTTTGTCTTCACTTTCAGTTCCTCTCTGCGGCGTATTTTCTGCAGAAAACAAGCTATTAGTCTAGTTTCCCTCTTATTCCGTCGTTTCAATTTTTTTTTAAAGCACATTTATTGTTTTACATGGTTATTCTTCTCAATTAGCAACTTCTCAGTAATTTTATCTGAGGTGACTGCATTAGTAGAGAAATCCGAAGGTAGCTTCCATTTTAATCGTTATTCCTTAAGGAAGATTTGACCATTATACAGCACTAGTCAAGGACTCAACAAATGGACTTAAAACACTTTCACTCAATCCACTAATTTCTTTATTTAATTTACAGTGTTTATTACCTTTCGATTGGATTATGCTCTAACAAGATCATTGCATCACTGACTGGACTATACTAACTTTTCCAATATTTTTTTATTTTGTTGCGAGAGCATGACTTGATTACATTCCGACTTAGGGCATGTTTGTTTGCTCAAATAAAAAGAGGAAATGTGTTGCCACCTCACCTTTTAAGAAAACCCCCATGTGCCACATGAGTTTTTGTTTTCAAGACATTTCTATTTCACGTGTTTGTTCGTTTTTAAATTTTGAGAAATGGACAGTGACGTAGGATGCCACCTCAATATTTCAAGAAATGTGTTTTCATAACAAAATGGGCTGAAAACACTTGGAAATGTCCCATCGGAGAATTTTTAATTAGTAAAAAAATTATTTGAAGTTTAGAAGAATAAACCGTATTATTTAAATAAGAGGTTTCTTATTTTCTTTTTCCTGTTCTCAAACAAACACAAGTAATAGAACTCTAGTCACCGTTACTATGGAGCCTTTTTTTTGTTTGTTTGTGTGAGTTGGCAGTGAAAATGAGAGTTTTCTTTGCGAAAAAAAGAAACCTTGGAAATGTCTTGAAATGATTTCAAGAGTGACATTTTCATTTCCGATTTTTTTGGAAATAGCCAAAAAGGCCCTTAAATCCAATGCTGGAATAGTTATCGTCCACCGCATGCTAAGTTTGAAATTTTCATTGTGAATAGACACTTGTATATTGTTGTTTTCAACTCTCTACCCCTCTACTTTTATTTTTGCGAAGTGATTATTTTAACTCTTTTAATCTTAGATAAAGAAGAAACTTATCAGAATGTTTCTTTTTCATTTTTTATTTTGCAAATAGGCCCCTGAGGGTGATAGAGTCAAAAAGCTTTCTTTTAGAGAATCTATTTTACAAAGTAAAAGTAGAATGGTAGTAACTTCAAGACAATGGTGCCTATCTGTGATTAACGCTTAACGCATGAAGAAAAAGATATCCACAAGTTTTGAGCGTAAAGAGTCTTGCACGTGAAGTATATGTACGTTCGTGGATGGCAATTGGCATATATTGTTGTAGCGATCTTACATGTGTCACATGAATCCTGAATTGTAATGGTCATAATTATATGCACATGATGTGCACGCTCTTGTCTTTTTATGTCTGTGTTATATGTATCCTAGATTTAGAAGTGTGATGTATCTGCATGCTTTTATTGCATGTCCTCAAGCTAGTGAGTATGCGTATAGAAACTGCTGAGAGTGGTTCGCTGACTTGAGCTTTCTGGCAAGAGGGACATTATGCTTAGTTTTTGTTTTTTTTCGGCCCCCCCCCCCCCCCCCCCCCCCAAAAAAAAAAAAAAAAAAAAAGGAATATACCTATATATCTAGTAGTTGTATTTGACAATTTACATCTTTAAACATATAATTAGTAGTTGGCCTGTAGGCTATAGGTTTAATGGCACCTAGATAACGGATAGGCTATATGTTGCTCTACTTTACACTTGTATACTCTCTTATTTTTAGCAGCACTTACATATTCTAAACTTTTTAGAATTTGAATTTTAATATACTGAGCTGTGCAAATGTGACAATTTCCTCTTCGAAAATTCTCATGTAACACTCACATGCTAATTTAAGAACTTCGAATCCTTAATTTTTGTTGAATTTACTGTTAAACCTATCATAACTCTATTTTAATAAACCCCAATTATATTTAAAATAGTATTTTAATAGTACTAACAGTAAATTTATTAAATATTAAGAGTTAAGATATTCTAAAATTAGCTTGCGAGTCTTGCATGAGAAGTTTATGCGGGAGATTCTCATGTTTGCATAATTGAGGGTGTTAAAGTGAAAATTGAAAAAATGTTAGGGTGTATAAATGCTGTAAAAAAACAAGTGAGAGTGCATAAGTGCAAACTAGGAGAAACTATCTTACTTATCCATCTTAGCCCGTCCAAGATTAAATTCCTAGCTCCGCCAACGACAATTGTGAGCAAAAGCTATAAAAAAGGAGCATGAGTTTGGAATATCCACTGCATCTCTGGTGGTCACTAGCAAAAATTTGTCCGTAAGGTTACCATCATGGACATGACAATACGCACATGAAAGCAAATAAACGTGGCCGTCGCCCTCATATAAATAATTTCAATACGCGACCTTCAAAAAAAAAAAAAAAATGGGGGTCATTTTCTACCTCTTTTGATCACCCAATTAACATCCAAATGGAGCTGATTATTGATACTGTAATGCAGAAATGCTAGTGTGGTGGATGTGACAAATACAGACATGGATTAATACGACAAAGATAAAAGATTGTAAACGGCAACTACGGTTGTCCTCTTTCTCCGAAGGAACGCTAACCAAGGAACGGTTATCCTCCTTTTATCTTAAAAGTGGGTTGACTTCAGCTTGAACTCATGGATCAGAGTGACAATATTCTGCGATCACATGATACGGAGCACAAAGGAACCAAACTTGTCAGTCAACAAACGGATGTGAATCTCCTCCACACCCACCAACAAAATTTACAGCACGTAACAGAGCATTTTCCTAGAAATAGCACAATCAAAACAAATCTGGAGCAAGTGAGATGCTTCTTCACCCTTTCCCAGTTTTTGTCGACTTGCCAAATGAAAGCGGATGCGGATTTACCGTGAAGGGAAGTGCCGGCAAAAGGAGTTGAAAGCGTGCAAAAAAATATATTTGTATTTTTACGAATATATCTATTTACAAATATAGATGTGCAATGAAATGTTCAAATTTCTATCTAAAATATCCAATATATGTCAATTATACCACTGTAATTGTTTTGATCCTTATATTAACGGATTGAGGTTAATTTATATTATATACAGAGTAAAGTTTTTGTAAACTTGAGTGTACTAAGGGCTCAGTCCACCACGCTTTTTAGCCATTGGATTTCTTTAATTGACTAAGATCTCATAAGATGATATGAAATCTATTTAATGAGGTAAGGGTAACTTAAGGGGAAAAAAATAAGAGAAAAATGTAGTTATTTCTCTTGCAGAAAAGAAGTCGCTAAAAGGGAATTGCCTCGTCTCCTTCTTTTCGTTGCATCTTTTCTTTCTCTGCTCGTCATATGTCCTTCTTCTCCATTGCATCTTTCCTTTCTCTGCTCGTCATATGTCCGCTCCATACCCTTGGGCATCTCCCTCTCCATGTTAGGATTAATTCAATTATCTACATAAATTAGAGAAAGGGGCTTGGTATTCATTGATTTCCTTTTCTATTATTGGGATGAATTTTCTTCTCGTTCAAAATTGCTCTAAGCCCAGGTTGTTATTAGTTGATTACTGAATCAAACAGGAAGGCAAAGAACACAAGGCGATGATCTCATTTGGTAGCAAGAAGCATTTAAATACGTTTTGCTTGGTTAAAGAGAGTTAGGGGCTGTTTGGATTGATTTTTTGGATAGGTAAAAGGGGGGAAAGCTGCCAAAAATGTCAGCTTTTTGGCAGCTTTCCCCCAAAATCACCTTTTATAGAGCTGATTTTGGGGGAAAGCTGTCAAAAAGCTGACATTTTTGGCAGCTTTCTCCTCTTTTACCTATCCAAAAAATCAATCCAAACAGCCCCTAAGTAGTGCTAACGACCAGTCATATTCATTTCTAAAGTAAGACCTATCATCACAAATCGGCAAAAAAAACTCGGTGGACTAACACCCTCCAGTAGGCTTAAGTTTACATGAAGCTTATATTATATCTATATATATATTATGATATATATATAGTATATATATGATATATATAATATACTATATATATAGTATAACTATAATATCATATATATATAAGGTACTAGTATATATATATGGAATAGGGTATGCTGGTACCAAGCATAAAACAGGTTTGTGGCTTGGGTAGTGAGGCTGGCACACCTCCTTCATATCAATCGGTTCATATCCCCATAAGCACCCTCAACCTCATGGTGAATGTGGTCCCCCCATCTTGAATGCTAGCACTGTATGATTGTGGCACCTCCCTAACCAGCACAAATTTTGTGCCATTGGTAGCTGAGGGAGCACAATCCCTCTAGACGTCATAGTCCAAAATCCGGTTGCATATCCCCATGCACTCCTCGAACCCAGGTGAATGTGGTCCATTTGAATGATGGAGCGGTGTGATTGTGCCACTCAACTACCAGCACAAAATTTGTGCTTGGTACAGCGATACCCATTGTTTCTGCTCTTCTCTTCATATAGATATACTATAATATATAATATATATTTATATACTATATATATATATACTAGTATATATAATTATAGTATATATATATATATCTATATATATTAGAGAGAGAGAGAGCGAGAGAGAGAGAGAGAGTAGGAGAGAGGAGAGAGAGGAGAGCATGTGTATGCTTGGTTTTTAAAAAACAGCCCCAAAGCATCACAAGTTTGTGCTGGTAGTGAGATATTTTTCCCATCCACTCATTCCAATTCCCAAAAACTCCCCAACCCATATGAATGTGAGCCCCAATTTTAATTAGTGGAGGAGAATATGCCATGTCATTACCAAGCATAAAAAAAACTTGTGCTTGGTGCCAAGCATACCCATTTCACACACACACACATACACACACACACACACATATACCCATTTCTCTCTCTCTCTCTCTCTCTCTCTCTCACACACACACACACATATACATACATACATACATACATACATACATATGGGTATGAGTTTTTACCAAGCGTTATTCCTAATTTTATTAATATCTACGATTGGGTAAGTAGATAAAGATATGATATGTATCATA